TTAGTTTCTCTCTATTTTTTCATTGACGTTCAAACAATGCTATAATGCTTTACAAGATATTAGAAGCAAAAGAACAGGTCAAAAACATTTTTTAAAAGACCACTAGTAGATGAGAAATTATAAAAAATGAAAAATTGATGATTTCTTCCTCACAAAATCAAAAATATTTCAAAATGACTAGGTCAGTCAGAAAAAGCTAATTTAATGCTTAGAAAAGAACGCATACCTAGAACTGTTGGCCAAATTCCTCGATACAAAGAAAGAATTCCTCCTTCGCGGGCTGTTTTAACGAAGACCTATAGAATAAAACATATCTAGAAACCACTAAATTTACAAAAACTTCAACATGAGATATTTAAATCATACAAATGGCTCACCGACATCAGTGTTGCATACTCCTTTTTAGTTGATATTGATAAACGAGCTTTGGCTGTATCTAATGGGTAGGTAGCACAAGTAGCTGTAGCACCTGCCATCGAACCAACAATGCAACGTCGTCCCGGAGTCCTCTTCCTATATATTTACCATTTTTTCACCTATCACTTTAAAAAGTAAGCAACGGACCCGTCCATATCAACATTTAGCCAATGCCGATATTGTTCGAAAGCAGCAAATTGAATAGCAGCATAAGGCATAACGCGCACCATGGTGGCTGAGTTACCGCGAAATAATGCGAAAAAACCATGCTCACGATAGGTTAGAAGTACAAATTTGAAAGCAGATTTGAAGGAATAACCACGAGTCGAAGACACTGAAAAGGTATTGGGAAATTGGTAAAACGGTAAGAAAAGAAAGTGTTTGGCAGACCCTGGAAGTAAATCTTAGTTCGATCGAGCGGGGCGATGGTGGTTTTCGCCACACAACCTGCTACAGCTCCACTAAATAGCGATGACGCAACGCTTGGTTTTATCTAAAGTATGGTAGACATAACAAGAAGCTTTATGAAATACGAATAAAGCCCATGAATTTGAAAAAAAGAAAATTTTTGCTTGACAATGACAACAACGGACAAATCCGAAGAAGTCGACAAGCCATGCGTAGACATAACTGAAGACAGAGCTGGCATGCAACGAATACAAATTCGCACTATCGGGATTACGAAGCCTCCACTAAACCGATGTTATTTAGTGCAAGAAAAGAGATTTAGCTACTAGCTGCTCTTAATCACCTTGGCATTTCGCTTGGACCATTAGCAAAAGGGTATTTCAAACTGCGCACAAGAGAGGATTGCTTCCCTAAACTTTTTCAAGATTGTCTTCGTGATAGGGTTGAGCATATATTAGCAGAAAGAGATATTAGAATGAGCACCAGCAATGAATGATGGACTTGCTGTATTATGACTTCAAAATGTACGCTCGTTGACCTTTGCCTAGTTGACTGTTTCAGTCAGTCCATGCATAATTGTGAGCATTGAAAACATGTGAAGGATGCCTACTAAAAGCAGAAATTTTCCAAAAAAAATTCCGGCTCATGAAAAGTTGCGAAAAAAGTTTGGATTTAAAGATAATATATAAGCAATTAAGAAGCTTAACATT